CAGGTGTCACTGAGGTGGAGGGCAGTTGACTACTACCTCTTCTTGGCTGTTTCTCCTCTCACAGACAACTCCGTGTGAGGAGAAGGAGGCGGAAGCCGCACCATGCGGCTTTTGTTTACACTTAAGTGTGTCCTTATTGGACACAGCTGATCACATGGTATGGGACCGATCATTGGTCCCATACCATGTCACATAATCTACCGTGTCCGTCGGACTCGGCGATCATCGGGCTCGCGGGTGCGCGCTCTAGGAGCCGCGCACGAGCCTCGGACACAAGGTGCCGTTTAGAGACGGCAACCCGCTCCTGTAGGTGTCCCGTTCTGCCGTTTATAAACAGCGGCCGGACGGGAAGTGGTTAACTTTCTTCCTAAATTTAGGATAAAATGTATTCTGCTACATCTCTTTGGTATAAATATTCCCAGTAAGTGTATGTTGATTGGTTTGTAAGACGTCATTCATGACGAAACTAGTAGGGCTTGGCTTGCTGGATGCTGACATCTGTGGAGAAGATTGAGTCACGAGCGCTGTAGTGAGTGTGCGGGGGAACAGGAGACTGTTATACCATTTGCTGTTTTATGCTGTTATACTGGTGTCGGTGAAGACACCCTTTTTGTGAGTGTAAATCTTTATTAAATTGTTGGATACTTTTATAAAAAAACTGGCTGCACCATGATTTTCTCTTTCATTCCCAAACATGACCTCGGTGGAGAGATATAAAAAGAGAGAGTGATATAATGCTCCTGGAGCCATTATATTGAGTGGTGGATACCTACCTTATGGATGAATGTGTAGCTATTGATCATCACACCTGAGAAGTTGATTTATTGCATCTGCTCCCAGAGCAAAAAGCATTTTTTGCTGATCTAGAGATTGATCAGCATGGAGCTCTGGTGAGTTACCCAACTTTACTTTGGTGGTGGATTTTGGCACAATTTCTTTGAGAGCACCTGAATTTGAAAAGGATTTGTTTGGACATTTGAAGAAATTCAGAACTGGCCAATTTTTATATTCACAAATGTAATTATTTAAATTACTTATGCACTAAAAAATAGTTTTGCACATAATTTTGATTTTTTTTATATTAATTGAGAATAGATATATATCTTTTGCACTAATGTTTCTACACTAAATTAAGAATAGTTTGTGGTTTTAGCGCATTCCTTTATTTAAGTTATAGCACTAAGAAATTTATTTGGTTTCTTTGAGGTGGAATTGCTGCTTTAAAGTATTAAGGGTGTGGCGCTTTTATTACACTTGTGATATGGTGTATATATAGTGGAATTTGTATTTATTGATATTTTTATACTAGTAATGGCAGCGATCAGCGACTTATAGCGGGAATGTAAGAGAGCACTGGCTGGGAAGGGGTTAACATCTAGGGTGCTCAAGAGGTTAACTGTGTGCTTAGCAAGTGTTAATGTGTTGATTGTGTGATGCTTTTACTAACCCTAGGTTCACATCTGTGTGGGTGGTGCAGCAGCACCACCCGCACAGAGTAATGCGGACCCGTGGGCGGGTGCCAATACTTCTCATTGGCAGGCCGCCCATACTGGAAAATGCAACCGTACTAGGAACCGAGGTTCCCATGCAGGCTGCATTTTCAGAAGAAGTACAGGGACTTCTTCCCTGCGTGTCACGGGCACGGGAGTCCATTCAAATGAATGGGCTCTCATGCCCATGCAAAACGCGGCCCACACGGCTGCATATATGTAAACTGGGATTAAGAGATGTGTTTTGCAGGGAGACAATAAACAAAAAAACTGATCGTTAGTACAACAGATTTCCACAACAAATCACAACAGTTTATGTGAAACTTTCTTAAGGGACAAGTACGAAAATTGTCTTCATAAGACAACAGAACAAATGATTTTCATGTAATTAGAACATTATTGTGCTCGTAAAGTAAAGAATACATTACAATACAATACATTGCATCACTTCCCAAGTTGTACTCTGGCTTACGAGAATTTTCGTAACGTATTCGCTTTTGATATGAGAATAGCTTGCAAAAAAACAAACGGACAATCATTGGTCTGGTATTCTTACTGTGTGAGCAAGGCATTAGGTGTTTGTATTGGATTGTGTCTTTGAGGTGTATTTTTATTGTGCTGATGCGTTGTCATGACTATCCAATGGTCTATGTTGGTCAATATACTTCACATACACCAATCAGCCATAACTTTCTGACCATTCGCCTAATACTGAGTAGGCCTCGCTTTGGCTGCCAAAACAACCCTTTTTCTTCCAAAACAGCCCTGGCCCATTGAGGCATGGACACTACTAGATCTCTGAAGGTATGCTGTGGTATCTGGCACCAAGCCGTCAGTAGCAGATCCTATATGTTCTGTAAGTTGCGACGTGTGGCTTACATGGATCAGACTTGTTTTTTCAGCACATCCCACAGATGCTCGATTGGAGATCTGGAGAATTTGGAGGTCAAGTCAATACCTAAAACCCATTGTTGTGTTCCTCAAACCATTTTTGAACCATTTTATAGTGTCGCAGGGTGCATTTTCCTGCTGAAAGAGGACCCATTGTAACTGAAATGTGCAGGTTTATTAATACATTGCCATAGCATTCTTGCAAGAAGTTCCCTTTTTCTACTAGAACCAGAGGTGTGTGACTGAAGCAGGGAAACGCAGACCTCAGATATGTTATAAACAATATAATTTATTAACACTAACAGTACAAACATAAACGCAGTGCAATACTAAAACATAATACGGTGCAAACAAACCAAACCACCACCCACAGATAACAGTATATACAAGCAAGCGTCGTCAGGCAGGCCGGGTCAATATCAATTGGGCAGGTAGGTACAGGGGGAGCAAGCGGAGAATGGTCGGGGTCACAGGCCAGGTTCAGCAGGTAGCAAGCAGCATAGTACAGAGGGTCAGGCAGAGGGATGGTCCGGGTCACAAGCCAGGGATCAGAACAGGTAGCAAGCAGCGTAGTACAGAGGGTCAGACAGAGGGATGGTCAGGGTCACAAGCCAGGATCAGAGCAGGAGAAGTCAGCAAAGGAACAGAAACAGGATGCAGGACAGATACAGGGCCCAGGACAAACACAACACCAAGGCAGAGTCTGCAAGTCTGGCCATCCCTTAAATACACCAGTATCATCAGTTCCAGGTGTTAGCTGGCTGAAAGGTTGAGTCTCTGATTGCTGGGAGCACCCGCTGGCCAGCCCTGGTACTGCAGATCAAAAGGCAGGTGAGTCCCACCATTGCTGGCCAGTCCATTCCTAACAGTACCCCCCCCTCAAGGAGCGGCCTCAGGACGCTCCAAACAGTCCTAGCTGGGCAAAATGTTCCACCGCCCGGTCTGGCAACTGGCGGGATATCAAAGACTGGCACACCGGGCAGGACTCCGGGCAGCGGCACACCGGGCTGGACTCCGGGGCAGAGGCACATCGAGCAGAGGCACACCGGGCAGAGGCACATCGGGCAGAGGCACATCGGGCAGAGGCACATCGGGCAGGGCACATCGGGCAGAGGCACATCGGGCAGAGGACTCATCGGGCAGAGGCACATCGGGCAGAGGACACATCGGGCAGAGGCACATCCGGGCAGGACATCGGGCAGGCAGGCAGAGGCACATCGGGCAGGACTCCGGGCAGAGGCACATCGGGCAGGACTCCGGGCAGAGGCACATCGGGCAGGACTCCGGGGCACATCGGGCAGGACTCCGGGCAGAGGCACATCGGGCAGGACCAGGCGGAGCAGCAGGCACCGGGCAGGGCACACGGGCGGATCAGCAGGGCACCGGGCCCCCGGGCGGGGCTAGGGCACCGGGCAGCCGGGCAGGGGCAGCAGGCACCGGGCCCCCGGGCGGGGCGACAGGCACCGGGCCCCCGGCGGGGGCGACAGGCACCGGGCCCCCCGGGCGGGGCGGACAGGCACCGGGCCCCCGGGCGGGGCGGCAGGCACCGGGCCCCCGGGCGGGGCGGCAGGCACCGGGCCCCCGGGGGGGCGCAGGCACACGGGCCCCCGGGCGGAGCAGCAGGCACCGGGCCCCCGGGCGGAGCAGCAGCAGGCACCGGGCCCCCGGGCGGAGGCAGCAGGCACCGGGCCCCCGGGCGGGGCGACAGGGCACGGGCCCCCAGGCGGGCGACGGGCACCGGGCCCCCAGGCGGGGCGACAGGCATCGGGCCCCCAGGCGGGGCGACGGGCATCGGGCCCCCAAGCGGGGCGACAGGCATCGGGCCCCGGGCGGAGCGGGCGGGCATCGGGCCCCCAGGCGGGCGACAGGTCGGGCCCCCCCCCAGGCGGGGCGGCGACGGGCATCGTGCCCCCAGGCGGGGCGACGGGCATCGTGCCCCGGCGGGGCGGACGGGCATCGGGCCCCCAGGCGGGGCGACAGGGCATCGTGCCCCCAGGCGGGGCGACAGGCATCGGGCCCCCAGGAGGGGGCGACGGCATCGGGGGCGCCCCCCCAGGCGGGGCGGCGACAGGCATCGGGCCCCCAGGCGGGGCGACGGGCGCGGACCCCCAGGCGGGGCGACAGGTCATCGGCCCTCAGGCGGAGCGGCGGGCGCCGGACCCCCAGGCGGAGCGACAGGTCTCGGGCCCTCAGGCGGAGCGGCGGGCGCCGGACCCCCAGGTGGAGCGACAGGTCTCGGGCCCTCAGGCGGAGCGGCAGGGCGCCGGACCCCCAGGCGGAGCGACAGGTCTCGGGCCCTCAGGCGGAGCGAGCGGCGGGCGCCGGACCCCCAGGGAGGAGCGACAGGTCTCGGGCCCCCAGGCGGAGCGGCGGGCGCCGGGACCCCCAGGTGGAGCGACAGGTCTCGGGCCCTCAGGCGGAGCGGCGGGCGCCGGACCCCCCAGGTGGAGCGACAGGTCTCGGGCCCTCAGGCGGAGCGGCGGGCGGGCGCCGGACCCCCAGGCGGAGCGACAGGTCTCGGGCCCTCAGGCGGAGCGGCAGGCGCCGGACCCCCAGGCGGAGCGACAGGTCTCGGGCCCTCAGGCGGATCTCGGGCCCCCCAGGGGCGGCGGGCGCCGGACCCCCAGGTGGAGCGGCGGGCGCTGGACCCCCAAGCGGAGCAACAGGTCTCGGGCCCCCAGGCGGAGCGGCGGGCACCGAGAGACACCAGGCACGACAGTGGGCTCCGAGTCAACTGGTATGACCGCAGGCACTGGGTCAGACACTGGATGGTCTGGCTGGACAGCGGGCATCGGGTCACCAGGCATCAGGTCATTTGGCTCGACAGCGGGGCACCGCGTCATCTGGCAAGGCAGTGGGCTCCGAGTCAACTGGTATGACCGCGGGCACTGGGTCAGACATTGGATCGTCTGACCGGACAGCGGGCATCGGGTCACCAGGCATCAAGTCATTTGGCTCGACAGCGAGCACCGCGTCATCTGGCAAGGCAGTGGGCTCCGAGTCAACTGGCATGACCGCGGGCACCGGGGCAGACATTGAATCGTCTGGCTGGACAGCGGGCATCGGGGTCACCAGGCATCAGGTCATTTGGCTCGACCGCGGCACCGCGTCATCTGGCAAGGCAGTGGGCTCCGAGTCAACTGGTATGACCGCGGGCACTGGGTCAGACATTGGATCGTCTGACTGGACAGCGGGCATCGGGTCACCTGGCATCAGGTCATTTGGCTCGACAGCGGGCACCGCGTCATCTGGCAAGGCAGTGGTCTCCGAGTCAACAGGCACGACAGTGGGCACCGGGTCATCAGGTACCGGATTGTCTGGCTCGACAGCGGGCATCGGGTCATCAGGTATGACAGCGGACACTAGGTCACCAGGCATCAGGTCATTTGGCTTGCCAGCGGGCACCGCGTCATCTGGCAAGGCAGTGGGCACCGAGTCACCAGGTACGACAGCGGGCTCTGAGTTAATTGGCACGACAGCGGGCACCGGATCAGGTACCGGATCATCTGGATCAACAGCGGGCATCGAGTCAACTGGCCTAATAGGATCGTCAGGCTGGATCAGTTCATCATGCTGGGTAGAGGCATTAGGCCGAGTAGAGGCTTCAGGCCGAGTAGAGGCATCAGGCCGTAGAGGCATCAGGCCGAGTAGAGGCTTCAGGGCTGAAGTAGAGGCATCAGGCCGAGTACAGGCATCAGGCCGAGTACAGGCATCAGGCCGAGTAGAGGCTTCAGGCCGCGTAGAGGCTTCAGGCTGAGGAGAGGCTTCAGGCCGCGTAGAGGCTTCAGGCCGAGTAGAGGGCATCAGGCCGAGTAGAGGCATTCAGGCCGAGTAGAGGCTTCAGGCCGAGTAGAGGCTTCAGGCCGCGTAGAGGCTTCAGGCCGAGTAGAGGCATCAGGCTGCGTACAGGCATCAGTCTGAACCACGGAAGGCAGGCTCACCGGTTTGGATACTGGCAGGATGGTATTGGTTGGAAAGAATTTTCGCTTTTTTCTGGTTTTAACTACTGGAGCACTGCAAGTAAACGCAGGTCTGCAAACGAATGGAGCAGCTGGAGACAGAGAAGAACTGGAGGATGGAACAGGAGAGGGAGCAGTTGCTACAGAGGGCTTTTTTACAGGGTTAAAGGCAGGATAGGTGCAGCGAGTGGGAACAGGGTACTGACATGCGGTAGATAGCCAAGTATACTGGGCTGTAACTGGAGGAGCTGGTGGGAATACAGGAGTAGAGTTAGAAGCAGGACTGGGTCTTTGTAAGCTGACTGAGGCTGGGTGCAACAAATCTGTCCATGTCTGCAGTAGGGGTTGAACAAAGCTGAGCTTACACAAAGTCTGTCTGGTCAATGACTGCACTGCGTTTATACAATCTCTCAGTGTCTGTGGTGAACATGTGGAATAACGCTCCAGAAAGTAACCCACATCATCCTCTAATAACCACACCAGGGACTCTACCTGGTCTGCACTAAATGGTGGCAAAAATTCATCCCTGCATTCGGGGGAACCAGATGAAACCAACTCTGCACAAACCTCAATCAATGGCTGCACCTCAGAGAACACTGTGCCCTGATCTACTAGAACATGAGCGAGCCGTATACATTCTAGCAATTCATCCCGGGTATACTCCTTCAGAGTTTGATAAGCATACTCCCTGTCATCAAACACTAGCAGATATAAATACTCAACCTCCTCAAGATCCCATCCTTCCCATCAACAAGCCAAGATGGCTTCCCTGTGCAGCCACTTCTGGTCAGGATTGGCCTTGGTGTAATGTCAGGGCTCCCAGGTATGACCAGAGGTGTGTGACTGACTGAAGCAGGGAAACGCAGACCTCAGATATGTTATAAACAATATAATTTATTAACACTAACAGTACAAACATAAACGCAGTGCAATACTAAAACATAATACGGTGCAAAAAACAAACCAAACCACCCACAGATAACAGTATATACAAGCAAGCGTCGTCAGGCAGGCCGGGTCAATATCAATTGGGCAGGTAGGTACAGGGGGAGCAAGCGGAGAATGGTCGGGGTCACAGGCCAGGTTCAGCAGGTAGCAAGCAGCATAGTACAGAGGGTCAGGCAGAGGGATGGTCCGGGTCACAAGCCAGGGATCAGAACAGGTAGCAAGCAGCGTAGTACAGAGGGTCAGACAGAGGGATGGTCAGGGTCACAAGCCAGGATCAGAGCAGGAGAAGTCAGCAAAGGAACAGAAACAGGATGCAGGACAGATACAGGGCCCAGGACAAACACAACACCAAGGCAGAGTCTGCAAGTCTGGCCATCCCTTAAATACACCAGTATCATCAGTTCCAGGTGTTAGCTGGCTGAAAGGTTGAGTCTCTGATTGCTGGGAGCACCCGCTGGCCAGCCCTGGTACTGCAGATCAAAAGGCAGGTGAGTCCCACCATTGCTGGCCAGTCCATTCCTAACACAGTGTCTGTCAGTTCCAGAGAACTCAGAAGGCTGCCAAATTCTGCCAAGTCTAGGCTGTGTCTGTGCCACTGTCAGGGACCGACTGACAGAAGCCTCTAGCGCCCCACAGGCCGGAATTCCCAAAGGCACAGAATCTAAGCCCCGACCTGCTTGTTCACCAGAGCCCCTGATGGTGGGGATGGACTTGGAGCAGGTCGAAACCAGGTCACGGCCCCTGGGTACAACCAGCTGTGGTGGAGGTACTTGCCAGTGGCACGTAGCGGGTGAGAGCCTGATGTGAAGAGGTGAATTAAGCGTAGTCAGACAGGCCGGGCCGGTAACGGTGGAGGCAGAACGGTACAGAGCGGCAGGCAGAGGGATAAACGGGTCACAGGCCAGGTTCAGTAACAGGAGGTCAATATGTTCAGGAGCAAACAGAAGAATGGTCAGACAAGCCAGGAATCAGAGCAGGAGACGGTCAACGGATCAGGGTCAGGCAGGGTCGGCAACCAGCAATCTCTCAGGATACAACAGGATAACAGGAGTAAGACCATACGGCACTTGAGCATTGCAAGAGCCGGTTTTAAATAGAGCGCCCTGCGCTGCTGGTGACAAGCACGCGCCCGTGTGCGCAAGTGCGCATGCGAGGCTGCAACTGCCGCCGCGGGCGCCCAGGTCCTAGCGCCCACGTGTTAGTGTGTCTTGGCAATCTGCACACGCGCAAACCTACGCGCCGCGGCGAACCCTGACAGCCACTGTCCACCAGAGCCACGGAGATCATCCTAGAGCATAGTATCGGAGCCACTAGAGGTCCAGACCTACTGATTCCTGGTGTGACGTCACCAAGCCTAGCTACAGGTCACAGAGCTACCACAGTCTGATCGCTGTAGAAGCTCAGCTGGGTCCCTGTTCATCACTAAAGGAGACCTGCTTCTACAAATACTGTGGAGTCGGTGAGTGGATATTAACCCATTGCAACCTCTTGACTGACACTGTAGTAAAATCTATTGCACTATCCCCCTTAAAGGCATCACCCATTATCTATTAACTTTCTGAAACAGTCCTGCTGGTCAGAACTGTACCCCTGAACATCTGGGAGATATCTACTACTATATTTCTGATAATTAACCCCTTACTGGACACTTCTCCACTCAGTGCTCTTTGGAAATTAGTGTTCTACACCCCGTTTTCTTGTTGCAGAAACTATTCTCTTTAGTGCACCAACATCCTCAAGAGCTCCAACGTAGCCGGCCAAAGACTTACTTTAACCACTTTCCCTCCTGAGGATTTACCCCCTTCCCGACCAGGCTTTTTTTGCTATTCAGCATTGCACTATTTCAACTAGTAATTGCGTGGCCATGCAATGCTGTACCCAAACAAAATTTATGTCCTTTTTTTCACAAATAGAGCTTTCTTTCAGTGGCATTTGATCACAGGTGCACTTTTTATTTTTTGCACTTTAAACAAAAAAAGACCAAAAATTTTGAAAGAAAACAATATTTTTTACTTTTGGCTATAAAAAATATATAGTAAACTCAAAGTTTGTCATAAATTTATGCCAAAATGTATTCTGCTACATGTTTTTGGTAACAAAATCCCAATAAGTGTATATTGACTGCTTTGTGTGAAAGTTATAGCACAGGGCTTAAAATTTCAAGTCCTGAGCTACTAGCCAGGCCTTAGAGTTACTCGCCACCAACAAACACACACAAACAGAGACACCTGTACATACACACAGACATGTACATACACATACACACACAGAGACACATGTACACACACACACATACAGACACATGTATACACACACATACAGACACATGTATACACACGCAGGCACGTACAGACACGTGTACACACAGATACATGTACATACATAGAAATACACACGCACAGACACGTACATACTCACAGACACATGTACACACAGACACATGTACATACATACACACAAACACATGTACATGCACACACACAGACACATGTACACACACACATGCAGACACATGTACAGATACACACATGTAGATACACACAGACACATGTACAATTGTACATGCATACACAGACACACACAAACACACACATGTACACATATACACACACACACCACCACCCCCAATCCCCCATAAAAAGTTGCAGTACTTTGTTGTTCACTCACAGATCCGGGTACTGCACTCTAGGGGGAGGCAGAGAGCACAGCACACACTCCTTGCTTTGCTTTCACTGCGCTCAGCTATTGAGCAGTCTGACGGCTCCAGTGCCAATGACAGATCAGGCCTGAGCGCCGAGCCTGCTCTGCAAGACGGCCCTGGGGGACACACTTGCCCCCACCATAATTTCCACTCGCCATTGGTGAGCAGGCGAGTGGAAATTTCAAGCCCTGTTATAGCATCTACAAACTATGTTATAGATAATGGAATTTACACAGATTTTACTTTCTGACTGCCTATCACATTTCTTGAGGTGCTAAAATACCAGGACGGTACAAACACCCCCAAATTACCCCTTTTGGAAAGTAGACACCTTAAGCTATCTGCTGAAAGGCATGTTGAGTCCATGGAAGATTTATTTTTTTCCACACATTTTTGGAAAATGGCAAAAACATTTTTTTTTTTACAAAAGTTGTCACTTAAATTATATATTTCTCACACAAGTCATAGGTATATGTGGAATTACACCCAAAAATACATTCTGCTACTTCTACCAAGTATGGGGATACCACATGTGTGAAACTTTTTGGAAGCCTAGCCACATACAGGAGCCGGAAATCCAATGACTACTTTGAAAACCTGAAGGTGCTTAACTTCCTCATTTCACTTCCTCACTACCTATCACAATTTTGGAGGCCCTGAAATGCCAGGATAGTGCCAAATCCGCCCCCCAAATGACCCCTTTTTGGAAAGTAGACACCCCAAGGTATTTAAATAGAGGCATGGTGAGTATTTTGCAGATCTCATTTTTTTCTCACAAGGTTTTAAAATATAAATAAAAAGAAAAATGTGTTTTTGTGTTCTTCCTTCCAT